AGCGAGATTCACAGTATATAGTACTACTAGACCATCCACATGGTCTCATAATTATTTCGTCTACTTCTCATTTGGTCTAATGACCATTTACGCTCATAGTCATTTGGTCTATTGTTCATTTGGTCTTATTGCCAGTCTGCTTAATGTCCATTGTTTATACTATCCATATTGTCTAATAATCATTTAATCATATTAATAATCAAATGAATATTAGACCTTATGAATGGCAGACGAAATGGGCATTATACAAACTGGAAATTAGACCGACCAGCAATTAGACCAAATGAACAATAGACCAAATGGAAATTGGACCAAATGATGAGCAGACATAATGATTATTGGACTAGTTGTAGATCAAGCTGTTATATATAATAAAACCGCTCAATTCACAATCTTAAAGGTAATACAAAGTTTTGGTATGGGGTCATGAATTTGGTTCAAATGAACATATTGGAAGCATATGCGATCATACAATATTCAGTGATCGTTGTCGCGGTTGAAATACAGTCTAAAGTTATGAAATAGTAAATAATACGCTCTTTATGTTGTCAAGGTCAAGATATTAATTAAACTATAAAACAATGTTTCTTGACTAAAATCGACTGATTAGCTATTCCCGTTTGGAAGGCGCTCAACAAACTGAGCACATTAATGACACTACCGGAATGTTTCTACTATATATACGTCTCTACTTAACACAATCATTATACAATCTAAACAAATGACCAAACATCACCAACACCACTATGCCTCAATATAAAGATAATTATTGATAACAAAGTGCATTTCAATAATGAATTCAAAAATGGAAGTAATGATATAGACATGGACCAATCCCTGACACACACACTCAAATCAAAACAACAAAAGCTATAAAAACATGCAGAATAATCTTCGCAGAACATAACTTCAATATTAAGTAGAAATGATTGTTATTTTATACTGTATGTCAGTGATAGCGAATGGGAAATATTGATTCAAATATTGGAAAGAGAAGTTTGATTTCATTCATGATACAATACAGTACTGGTATGATTAGGTAGATTTCAAGAGTTAATTTTCATAATTACAAAATACCTTTGGGAAATTGTACACAAACCACCTTAATGCCCCACTGCACACTCAGAGCTCTTGCGCCCTCTATATAGCAAACAATGCCTAGTCGATGCCTGTTAGTCCCCCATGATCCCCTTTTTCTCATGTTAATTGAGAGCTGATTTGATGAGATAACCACCTGTCAATGACCTTGCAGGGAGGTCTTATCCCCCCTGGCCAAACTAGTGCAAACCACCTTTAAACAAATGCTGTGTATTTCAAATGCTTATGGTACACTTTCGCAACATTTCAAACCTATGAACTTTTACAGTACAAGAACATGTAATACATGTATTATTTTTAACTCAAACACCACAAAAAAGGATCTTTTTTGTTGTTGTATAAAAACAGGTTTAAGGCACTAGTTGTGAACTTTTGTGAAGGCAGAATAATGTCCATTTGAATCAGATCCTAAACATTCAACACTTAAACTCACATATAACTTAATAAGTGAATACTAATTCATACTTCCTATTCATTTCAGTTCTCATCCAAATTTTACATGAGTTTGTCTCCAATTTCCAGAAAACAAGGCACATTATTTGGTGGATACTGGATTCCATAGCAAATGTCAACATGTATGGGTAATTTAAAGATAAACTTGAGTTCTGGTAAAAAAAGAAAATGAATTCTCACAGAATCTAACGAAACTTACACTGAATGTTCAAGATTACAAATAAATGTCATGTGCCAAACAATTTTGGAAGAAAATGTATACTGGCTGAGTAATGAGCATAGAAAGACAAGGAAATCAGGGTAGTACTAGCCCCGACACCATGTGTGTTGTCCCATATACATCTTTCTGTGTAAGTGATTGTAACTTTATCAAGACTCTGCCAAATTTATGATGATTTTGATGACTCCAGAACCTTGCATTACACATCATTACTTACATGCTACATGTATATGATCAACTTTTCTGATCCATTCCACACCTTTTCTTTCACAATGCAATCGCATTACCAGAACTCAAGTTTATCTTTAAGGCTCTCTTCATAATTCAAACGAAATTCCATTCAAAGTGTGTGTAATTGTCATATTTTAGTACATAGTTATTCTACACTTTATAAAATATACTTTCAACAGTTTCTCATAAAATTATTGTTTGTACAAGATTACTCAGCTATGTGATAAACACAAGGCACTTAAGTAGGAATATTTTAACTTCTAAACATTGCAAATATATTCTCCATTAATCACATAACAAATCAATTTAAAAGAAAATACATACAGTTCACTACTAAATTATTCATACCCTTACCAATTTTTGTAAAGTTTTAAAGTTTGTGAAATATTGATTTGTCCTGGTTTGGGGTTCTTAAGAAAAGAATGTAACATATTAAAAGTTCACATCTAAAAGTATTCAACTAAGGTCCTCATTCAACCACTCCACCTTTCTTTGCTGTGTTATGAAAAACACAAAAAACATCAAATTTACGAGGGGTATGAATAATTTAGTTGTTAAATGTATATACCGGTACCTTTAAAACTTGCACAATTAAAAAAAAACAATGAGAAAAGAGATCACAGGCCATAAACTCTGGAAGAGACCAGTTTTGAAAACAATTCTAAAACAACTGTTATGTCAGAATACCTGTGACAAGCTTTTGAGGTTGGCAAGAGCACATTTTGAACACAAAACATGCATACAATTTCAGCATGTAATACAAATGGATTCTTATAAAGGTAAGGACACTTAATCTTTCATAAGGCATGTAAACAAGAAGGGAATAATATCAATATAATTAAAAAATGTATATATAAATATAATACATTACAGATAATCAGAAAAATAAGACTGTTGTACAGCTCATGTTGATGGCAAATGCTGCAGTGCTATAAGAAAGATTTTTCATCGCAAGTGCTTAAACAACAAACTCCCTAACACAACTTATGAATACAAACGCTACAACAACACTCATCTACATGCACAGTATATGTATCCACATACACAAGTATAATATTATCATCAATAGCAACTACATGTTAAAAATATTCAAGGAAAATATTCAAGGAAACTATGTAAAACCCTGTTTGTAACACTCAGTCTCTACTCAACAAATTTATTCCCCCCAAAAGGAAAGAGCAATGGTTGAGTGCACTTTAAAGAGTACACTGAACAGACTTTCCAATGAGACAAAAAACAATCCCTTATTTTCTCTAGATTATATACTCTAAGTGTCTGCTATTCCGGCAGAGTAGCTTCTAAACCACTTATTGATGCAAATGGATGATAATATTCCACTACCTCCAACTATTATATATTTAGATATGCAACTACAGTGACAGAAATAGACCTTTAAAATGTAAATCACTGTTTCTTCCTCATATTGAACCACTCCAGTGACACAAAGCCGTAACTCCATATTTTGCCAAAATGAGTATTTGATATCAAAATGTTCAGAAAAATGTGGGCTTTCCAGGAAACACAAAGACTTAACTCCATCCAACACCCTATTGAAGTCAATAGCTAGTGAAACATAGACTTAAGGCCTAAGTGATCAATGACACATGAACCACCTTTTTCTCAAAATGGAGTTACGTGTTTGTGACACTAACCCCTCGGAATAAACCACATAGAGAAGGCACATCCTGGCAGTAAATAAGACTCTCTGATTGGATGACATGATTATTGTAATCAAACATAATCAGGAGACATCAGTCTCTGACATTATCTAATCCTTTTATATATAAATGTAATGCTTCCTGGGAGAAATTTCAATTATTTAAACATATTTGTGGCTTACACCCAGTAAATAAGATCGATTGATCGATCTGTATTGAAAAAAAAATACAGATCGATCAATCAATCTTATTTACTGGGTGTAAGCCACAAATATGTTTAAATGATCTAATCCTTATCTTAACACATTGACTGCTGGAACCAGACGGCTCCTGTATTAAAGTCTATGGGATTGAGACAAGTCAGTAGTCAAAGGGTTAGTACATAAAACTGTGCATGTCTTTAACTCTCTCTCTCTCTCTCTCTCTGCCGGCTACATCTAACTTTGGAACATGCAACTGAACGCTTTAGTGGAACTTTGTCATATAAAATATGTAATAGTATTTGTCTACGAACCAAATTAATGAAGATACCAGAAATTCAGTCCTGGGCCCCCTGGTATAAAGAGATGTGATTGATCCAAACCAATGGCAGGTCCTCTAATCAATAGCAAGTTAAGTTTGCAGTCCCCAATCTTTTATGTAAATAGTTTCGCAAATAAGTGCAGATTAATATCAAATCTTTATAAGACGGGGCCGTGGACATGAGAGGGGCATCTATTCTCACAAAGACCCTTCATGATTATATCATGCACAACCATCATTCTATGTTGTTCCTTTACATCTCCATACATCTCCATACATCTTCATACATCTCCATAAGTATATCAGCACAACAGTCTGCTTAAAGCTTTCCTTATTTTGGAGTGTGAACACGTTCTGACGTAAATCTCACACAGACTCCTCACTTTTATACCAATCAACCAAGCAGAAACATGATCTTAAGACGTCTCGCAGCATCATTTCCTTCTTTCTCAAACAGATTCATCACGATTCATTAAAACGCTCTTCTTGAAGTAGTGAGAACAGCAGCCACCGTCACACCTCACAAAGACTCTCTCAATTATTGGATGACATGACTATTCCAATTATTCCAAGAGGCACGATTCTAAGACGACTTGCAGCATCGCTTGCTCCCCTCTCCATCAGTTACATCACGATTCATTAAAACGCTCTTCTTAAAATAGTGAGAACAGCGTCGACAGTCAAATCTCACTAGAACTCTTCCATTATTGGATGACATGACTCTTCCAATCATTCCAAGAGGCACGATTCTAAGATGTCTCGCAGCATCATTTCCTTCCTTTTCCATCCATTACAGCACAACGATTCATTACAACGCTCTTCTTGAAGTAGTGAGAACAGCGTCGACAGTCACATCTCACTAAAACTCTTCCATTATTGGATGACATGACTATTCCAATTATCCCAAGAGGCACGATTCTAAGACGACTCGCAGCATCGCTTGCTTCCCTCTCCATCGTCATTTGTGAGGTTGAGTGAGTTCTGGATCTCTTCATCTTCTTTGAGTAATAAGAGCTTGGACATAGAGGTGAATGCCTCAGTCACGTTGGAGCCGGTTTTAGCACTCACTTCGTAGAAGTCACATTTATAGGACTGAAGAAGGAGAGAGAGAAAAAAATATATACGACAGCTAAAATATGTACATAGTCAAACAAAGTGCTAAAAGAATCTTGAATTCGTCATTTCTCTATCTTTGAAGTACAATGTACATGTGCTAGTAGAATGTACTTCACTTGAAATCTACTGAGGACCCCAAATAGAATAATGATAGTACAACATGACTTTCATTTATTATAAGTGTTTCGGGCAGATTTTTCAATGTCTAAAAATACTTCTAGAACACATGGGATAAATTCTGGTTTCTTGGCTGGAGTTTGTTAAAACATCATCTAAAGTAGAATATCACCTTGCACGACACAAAAGCAACTAGATTTAAAAGCAGACCTGACCCTACTAGAAAAAGATAACAAATAGACGAGACAAATACAACTGCATCTCCTATATGCCTACGCCCTAAATTATTCATGACATATCACGATGCAAACAAAAAGTCTATAATTAAATGTCAACTGACGACTATGATCTTGACCTAATAGCCCTAAAATGTAATTGGACCATCTTTCTAAAGTAATACTGCCACCATGTTTGGATATTGAGACAGCAAAGCTAAAAACCTTTAATTTCAGAAATTTAACTCTGTGACCTTTGACCTACGTACCTTAAATCTTATGAGACTATCTTCCTATGTTGATACACACTATCATCAGGTTTGAACCCCATATCTCTAGTGGTTCTTAAGATATCGCAGTAGCAATGCTAAAACCTTAAACTTAAGAAATTGACCTCTGTGACCTTTGACCTATGTATCTAAAATCTTATCAGTTCCTCTTCCTATGTTGATTCATGCTATCACCAAGTTTGAGCGTCATATCCCTAGTGGTTCTTGAAATATTGGGATAATGAGAAAGCGGGACAGACAACCAGTGGGCAGAGGCATGTAAAGACACAGCATCAGATGTTCCTGCACTGTTTTCAGACAGTTTAAGGATCAACTCCATCCAGGTCATAAATGCCAAGGGCTTACCTCTGACAAGCTATGACCCACTTCCTCTTTGATCTGTCTATCCTCCGTACAGTCACACTTGTTGCCTAGCAACATCTTCACCACATGACCATCTGTAGTCTCCTGCAAGATGGAAACACTCAATCAGTTTTCTTCATTTTCATCTCAATTTATATCTTTTTGAGTTTCAAATATACATTTACATAGAGAGGAATAAAATAACATGGGGGGTACATCTCCTGTTCAAAGCACTCCGTATGAGGTATCATCAATGTACAAATCACCACCATTAATATATGAACACAAATGAAACATATCAATGGAACTTCAATATCAATGCAAATCAAACTTTTATATTTAAATAGTGGTTGTTAAAGGCATTGTTTTTAAAATAATGTTTCAAGTTTTACAATTCTGAGATGCATGGCCCTACGTGCTTCATGTATCAGTGTCTGTGATATGGTAGTTATAAAAAACTGTTGGGAAAACGGTTTCTAAACTTTTGAATTCCATGCCATCATAAATATCTTGAAAATTGGCTTGTAAAATTCATGAGATTCATTTCTGACCTAAAGGTTTATAATTATGATTGCAGCATGATCTAAATCCAGGATTTTGTTTAAGAATCAGAGGCAAAGTATTCCTAATACCTTTAAAGGAAAAACGTTATTATACCACTAAAGTTTATTCTTGACAACCGTAATGTCTAAGACCAAATAATGATAAAATCAACATATCGTTTACATTGTTCTTATTTCTTGGAAGATCTTTCACATTGGGCATTTACCTCGATACTGTTCATCCAGTTTCTGATATTGAGAAAGGATGTTTCTGAAGTGACATCATAGAGAATCACAATCCCATCAGCCTTCCTGAAGTAATGCCTTGTGATGGATCTGAATCTCTCCTGACCGGCCGTGTCCCAGAGCTGCATGGCTACGATGCTACCACACACTGAGAGGGACTTCACCTGAAAGTCAACACCTGTCAGAGAGAGAGAGAGAGAGAGAGAGAGAGGGAGAGGTAGAGAGAGATAGAGAGAGCAAGGGAGAGAAAGAGAGAGAGGTAGAGAAAGAGAAAGAGATAGTAGAGAGGTAGAGAGGTAGAGAAATGAGAGAGGTAGAGAGAGAGAGAGATGAATATCATTGCATCATGATCTTGCCAAGAAGAGGTTTAAAAACACAGATAGTACAGATAGAGTGACAGACAGGGTTATCTGACACATGATCCAGCAACAATTGCTCTAGTCTTTTTTCTGTAAACAATACAGGATAAATTGGGTTTATATCTACAGTTTTGGATCCTGGGTGAAAGTTAGGAATTTTTGTTAGAGTTAAATCTTTCACTGGAGAAAACTGTTGCTTAGGCGAAAGCTATACAATTGTTTCAATTATGGAGAGAATAAGAAGTAAAGATTGTCAAAGATTTTACAGAAAAAGAAAAAGAAGTAATGGAAGGAAGAGAAAGTGAGATATAAAGAGAGCTCAAGCACATAAATAAGCCATGAGAACTGAGGATTTGGATAGGAATAAACTAGAAGAAAGATAGAACAGAAAGTGAGAGAGAGAGAGAGCACTACTCACCTATTGTAGCACTGAATGAGTCTGTGAATGTGTCTGTGCAGAACCTATGAATGATGCTCGTCTTTCCTACTCCAGAGTCACCTACAAACACCACCTTATACAGCCTCTCTGGGGTTCGGTTCGCTGCTACCAGCTGTAACTTACAATCAAACACAAACAATTCAATCATCTAATCATCAGCTAAAACCCGTTCAGTACAAATCAGGACCCATATTCTTAAAACCTTGAGCAACAACAGTTTTCATAAAACTGAAGTAAGTTTTGAAGTACACTTCTCTTTATTCTAATTAAAACTCTTTTGTCATGAATTGTGAAAGTTTGATTGGTATGTTATAGCATCCGTAGAAAGGTTTATAGCTAGTGGCATTGTGCATGAGCTTTGCCTTCGCACCGCCCAGCCGGCTGGTGACTTTTTTTGCATTTGGGGGAGCGCGGAATCTCCTTTGAAATTTGGCGCGCCGTTCATGACTTAGCATCAAGCTTACTTCCTGTGGATGTATATCGTCAAGTGAAATCTAAAAGATTTCTATCTGTAGTCAAGGCAGTGTATGACTACGTTAAAACGCATGATCAGTGGACTTGATGCTGTTCTCGTCCACTCAATCTAAAATTCTGTAATGACAGGTTACTTTAAACAGTGCACATCTGTAGTGAGACATACCTTCTTGGCTTCAGCTATTGCCTGATCGATGGGTGTATGAGCTCCTACTGGTTCAGCTCTCTGGCCCTCTGGACTACTGCTTGGTGTGGGCTCGCTACGCTCAATACTGAAAGAGAACATCATAATTGAGAAGGCTGTTTGGATGGATAGAAAGCTTGCATCATGTTAAAAGCATTGCACCATGCGCCTGGCTCTCGTAAGCACACACACACTCATCAGTCTGCAAGAATCTTCAACTGTGAAGGAGGTAGACTTAACCCCAAGAAGAAGCAGCTTGTTTTTGGAAAGGGGTGACCCAATCTCCAAAATTTAAAAAATACTCAAATATGGAGGCATTTTGCAGACCTACATGTACGAGACTCCAAAAAATCATACTTGAGTCTTAAATTAACAGTTCTGGGGGGCGTTTCACAAAACTTGTCATCAGTGGCAAATGACAGTTTTTGTTATAAGCTACTGAAATCCTTGCTTCTGATTGGTTATCAGCAGATTTGTCACTGCTTTTTGTAATCCCAAGATATATTAGTGCATAGAGAGCTATGATTAACTAGTTGACTACTGACTTCAAGGGAAACAAAAATGTGGTCTTTCTATACACGTGGTAAGTAAAGCAGGTTTGACTGTAACTCATGTTACTCAAATAAAGAAACATTTTGTGCCTTTAAAGCCCCACTGCACTACTTGTAGCTAGTTGCTCCCTCTACCGGTATATAAAAAAACAATGCGTAAGCGGTGCATGTTGGTCCCCAATGATCCTCTTTTTCTTATGTTAATTGGGAGCTGAGTTGATGAGATAACCACCAGTGAGTGACCACGCTGGGTGGTCTAATCCCTCCCGGCCAAACTAGTGCAGACAAGATTTCATAGGTGATGCATGTACTTACGGACTGGACTTGGTTTCTCCGACCACCTGCCTGTTGAAAGCCTTTCTCTTGTCACCGGCCGACGCCCTATCGGCCGACGCCCTACTGGCCGACGCCCTATCAACCGATCTCCTCCTGACGACCTCACTCCCTCCGTCAAACTCGTCCTCCTCCACCTCATCATAGACGACCCTCTCTGAGTGCGACATCAGCCCCGATGACAGCAACCCGCTGCTCTCCAGGAAGGCATCGTCGACCTCACACTCCCCATCATCATCGTACATGAAGCTTTGACTGAGCTGAAGATGATGGGCGAGGTCCCTTGAGAAGGTTCGACCGTGTATGCTGGGACGATGGACACTGTGACGACTACTCCTACGACTAGATCTACCCCCGTCTAGAGAACTACTCCCTACTATGTGCTCTCCTCCGTCCCCCCTAAGGTTAATTGGCAAAGAAAAAGATGAACATCGTTTTGGAGAGTGATCTTAAATTCCATTTTACAGTGCATTAATCATGGTATTGTACCCATTGCTAGGACATGTATTTCATTTAAAGAGGACTGTAACTAAGTACTTGACATTTTTCAATCAAAATCTGTAGAACACATGTCAATTTGTATCTAAATTCTCTTTGAAATCTAGTTTATATCTTAACTACCAAAATAATGTAAATGACCTTTTAATTTGCTCAGAACATCTTTGAAAGAACAATACCCATTGCTTAACAAATGTTCAATAATAATCTCCGAAAGTTTAACAGTGCAAATATTTTTTTTTAATATGATAAACTTTGAATATTGATATTACTCATACATGACTTGAACACTATTGAAAACAATGCCATACATGTAGGTGTAAACATGAACTGAGTTTTTTAACTAGCAACAACTAACTGACCTTTTCACTCTATCTTTAAAGGTATTTAAGATATGCTAAATTGCTAAGCTTTCAAATAATATTGATGATAAATATCTAGCTACAGTTTGCCTAACCTGCCACTCCCCTAAGCTATACACACCTGCATCTACACAGATCATGGAATATATCATTAAGTATTCTGGAAGGTGCACGGTTGATTTTATTACAAATCTCTAATCAAAGTTTCTATGTTAATAATCACACTTTAAAATGAACACATACAGGGGTGTATGTACAAACAAATGCAAACAAATGTATATGTATGTAGGTGTGGTAATGCTAATCTCAAGGCTCTACTTTAATAAATTATATCTTTAATACGTTTGTGGTGAAATTGTGCATTAAAAAAAATCTCTAAAAAAGAATTTAATCTATTTATTAGGAACCAGACTACTATAACACTGAGTTCCCATACATGTAGGACATATATTTATTCAGATGGTCATATCTCAGCAAATACTTAACATACATTGAATTGGTTTTTGACATTTTGACATTATTTTTGATGCTCTTTTAGAAAATGAAGAAAAAAATTGAGAAATTCTAAAAATAGATTTGTATGAGGTCACAGCTTCAGTACTCTATAGCATTTGGAACAAACTGGTTCATACAGTATATATATATCATGAGGTAGCCAAAACAGTAAAAAAAAGACAGATTTTGATACCAACATATTCAAGTTCATGAATTATTCTTTCCTGGGGACCTAGTGACGAGTCATTCCATTAACCTGTTATCAATGAATGCACTACAATACCTGGAATCCAATATTACTTGTTGCTATGTCAGGCATTCGTTTAAAAAGTATGCATACAGTGTTAGTAGACCGGTCTATTTTCATCATAAAACAAATATTGTACAAAATATATCTTGAGAAAACGGCTTTAAATTTCAATTTAGTAATCTCCCATCACACCGATAAATTGGCAAGAATCCCATAGAACCAACTTCTGCTACTAATTCTTCTACTACTTCTACTACAGTGGTTCTTAACCTGGCTTTCATTTTTCTTTCCAAATTTTTTTATTGGGGAAATATATGAAGGGGATCGACATGAGTGAAACAAAACCCTTTCTGTGTCTTCTATTTTTATACCCCTCAATCAATCTAATAACAATGCCATTCAATTCAATTCTATTCCTTTCAATTCGATTAACATTTATTTAGTTTCCATTGAAATTAAATCATTTTCATTTCAATTCAATTAATTTCTGTTAAATTGATTTAAATTTTAATTAATTTTGATTCAAATGTACATTCAATTTAGATGTTTTATGTACTATTGAATGACAGGGGGCAACATTGACCGAGACTTGCCACGAGGGGGTCAATGCACTTACAAGGAAGGTCAGATAAGGTCAACGGTCAAGAACCACTGTTTAGCTACATGATAGTCACCTGACATGTTTGATTGGTCGATGCAGGAAGGATCATGGATGGAGGGAAGGGAGGAATTATGATCCGATGGAGGATCCCTAGGATGGTTTGAACAAGATACAGAGAGATAGAGAGATAGAGATAGAGATAGAGAGAGAGAGAGAGATAGAGAGAGAGCGAGAGGTAGAGAGATAGATAGAGAGATAGAGAGGAGAGAGAGATAGAGAGATAAAGAGAGAGAGAGGGAGAGAGATAGAGAGATGGATAGAGAGATAGAGAGATAGATAGAGAGATAGAGAGGAGAGAGAGAAATATAAAGATAGAGAGAGGGAGAGAAAGAGAGAGAGAGAGGGAGTGAGTGAGAGGTAGGGGGAGTTACAGAAAAGGGGGTGGGGGTAAGAGATTTAAGAGAGAGAGAGAGATAGAGAGAGGGAAGAGAGAGAGAGAGAGAGAGGGAAGAGGGAGAAAGAGAGAATGAGAGAGAAGCGGGGAGGGGGGGGGGGTCGGGTGAGAAATAAAGATAGGGAGAGGGAGAGAAAGAGGGAGAGTGAGAAATATATAGATAGAGAGAGGGAGAGATAGAGATGGGAAGGGGGGGGGGTGAGTGAGAGATATAAGATAGATAAAGAGAAGGAGAGAGAGAGCAAGAAAGAAAGAGAGAGAGAGAAGGGTCAAGAGAGGAGAGGTAAAAATAAAAGAGTATACGAGATGTAAAATGGAAAATATAGAAAGAGGAATAACACAAATGAAAATAGAAAAAGATCAAGAGAGACAGGGAAAAGAAGGGCTTAGAGGGCGGGAGAATGATATAGAAAGAATGAAGAAATAAGATGACAAGAAACGGAAAAGAGAGAGAGAGAGAGAGAGAGAGAGAGAGAAAAATGTGGGGGGGGGGGGTGGATAGATATATATTGAAAGACAGATCAATTGAGATGAAAGGAAGAAAGAGATACACAGACAGAATTTAGATGCGGGATGGGAGAGAAGTTTATAGACAGAGACAAAAAGGAATAAAGACAAAGAGATAGAATTTGAAACCATCAATTGCCCGCTAACAGATAGATATAACATGCACAACACCAGCTCAGACATATAACCTACATTAGATGAGAGAATACTTGAAGGAACTAGGCATAAAAGAAATTGCATTTATGTATATATGTACGCATCCAAAGGCCCTATATTATTTAATTGGTTTGATAAAGGAATATTAAAATGAGAAGATTACAAAAACTGCCTTATACCATTTACTGTACGACAGAAAGATTGTTACAGAAACATAATAAATAGACTGATTAAAAGGTTGCTGCATGCGAGTATATGTTTAAATATCTGTTCCAAAACAAACATTTATTGTGATCCCATAAATTGCACAAGGTTAACAAGTGTTTAAAAAAATTTCTGAAAATAAACCCCAGCATAAAAGTTAGTGCCCAGATACAAGTATTTGCCATCCCTCCATTTTTTTTTAACAGTTCCTGTCTATAACTTCATAATTTTCACTTTGCATTTTTAATATTATACTTTGAGTGTCATGATGGAATACTAAATTTATGAATGTACACATACATGAAACAGAGAATATACGCACAAGATTTGGAGTGAAAATATAAACACACGAATACAAGGCCGAAAAGTGCAGTAATGCAAATACACAAATAAATGCAATTTGTATAAAGAATCTCAAAACTTAAAGCCAAATTGAAACATAAATATTGAAAAATATATATCCGACACATCCCACAACATTTTAAAAAGTATTTTCTGATAATAAACATCAGCATTAACCAATCACTAACTAAATTTATTTTATGTAATACATCATGTGTATACAATATGTTGTATGGAATGGGTACATGCAATAATTAGAAACCCAATCATCTGAATATTCCCAGCCTAATTCACTGAAATCTAAACATTCTGCCTCTCATAAACTACTTTTACTTTGATTTGAGAATATATATATTGCATGCAACTATTGGGAGGTGCAAGATTGGGCTATTCCTCTAGCGATTAAATCTATGTCGTCCCATAATAAATTGAAATGAACTGAACTAGTCAATGTCACACATTCGGATACCTATCATCAGGGGGGTGTTTCACAAAGATCCTAAGTTGAACTTATCTCTAAGTTGGACATAACAATTATGGAAAGCTGGTAGCATCATTAAACAAAAGTTGTAAAAGTTATTTCAAAAGGCATAAAATGTTGATTCAAATCATTCATATTTTCTATCATCAAGGAGATTTCATGTTCTTGATGTGGAATTTATGAAAAGTCTAAAATACTTCAATTTTTGCTTTTGGAAATATTTAATTTTAAGGCTACAAATGGCTCTCCATAATTTTTAAGTCCAACTTAGAGTTAGGTTCGACTTAGGATCTTTGTGAAACACCCCCCTGGAGTCAGAAGGGTGTTAACTCTCTGTGTAAATACGAGTTAATGCCATTTTGGCTCCAAACAGACGATATACTTTTGTTTTGAGAGTATGAGCACATCTCCTTTAGACCATGAAGGTGATACTTACCCGATAACTCCCTCTTCAAAGTAATTAGACATGATGGAGCCTTGCTTGACAAGGGTCTTCTTCTTTTCATCCTCTGATGGGTCAGATAACTGATAGAGCAAAAGAAGGAATGAAGGAAGAGAGAAGAGAAGGAAGAGAGAAGAAAGAGAAGAAAGAGAGAAGAAAGTGAGGAGAAGATAATGGAGGGGAGAGAAAAGGAAAGAAGAGAGAAGAAAGAGAAGAAAGAGAAGAAAGAGAGAAGAAAGAGAAGAAAGAGAAGAGAAGATAACGGAGGGAAGAGAAAGAGAGAGAAGAGTAAAAGGGCAAGAAGGGGAGAGAGATGAAGGAAGGAAGGAAAGAAGAGAGGTAAAAAGAGTGAAGAAAGAGAAGAGAAGATAACAGAGGGAAGAGAAAAGGAAAGAAGAGGGAAGACTCAAGAGGGAAGAGAAAAAGAGAGAGTAAAAGAGCAAAAAGGACGGAGCGTAAAAGGGCAAAAAGGGAAGAGAGTAAAGAAAGGATGAAGAGAAAAGATGTTTGAGAGAAAGAGAGAGAGAGAAAAAAAGGACAGAGAAACAGGGAGAGAAAAGGTGAAGCGAGGAAGAAAGAACATAAGATGAGAGAGAAAGGAGAAGAACGAGAGAGGAGAGGAGGGCAGGGAGATAAAAAGAAGAATGAGATCAAGAAAGAGACAAAGACAGAAAGATGGAATAAGAACGAGAGAATGAAATGAGAGTATGAAAGGAAAATCAGTGAAATAATAGAGAGAGAGAGCGAGAGGGAGAAAGAGAGAGAGAGAGAGAGAGAAAGAGAGAAAGATAGAAAGAGAGAGAAAGAGAGAGATAAGACGCGTAAGAGAAGGATTACAGAAACGGAAATGAAATATAGGTAACATGAAAAGATAGGGAGTGAGAGTCAAGTAAACAATTTAGGACTAAATTTTTATGCTACATGACTTGAACGTGTGTGGACTCATAATGCATTCCCAGATACATGTATCTCAGTCTAATTCTTTTCACTGTCTCATTCCTAGCGAGATCAAGTCAATTAAAAAAAACAAAATCAAATAAAATCCCACCTTCTTCTTCCACATAGCTAATTTCTTGAATTTGTGTAATGCTGTATAGACTGTAGCCACTATGCTACTTCCTGTGTATATTGTAGCATACATGTACATCTAAATCATGACCAACCTGTTTTATATGCCTGTTGTTCACTGTGGACCAATTACAAATATATTGTTCAGTTTCATTGTTTTACTATGTACAATGCAATCCCATGTACCTTATTTTATTTGGTTGGAAATGGAAATAAACGAGAATAAAAATGACCACTATTATAATAATTATAATCCTTTTTTTTTATATAGCGCTCAATACACCAATCCAACGATGTGCCTAAGCGCTTTATATATAAAATATTACCCAGGTCATCGGATTCAGGCTTACCCGCACACAATGTGTGCACATTTTCCACTCCCTGGGGAGCATTCCAGCCAGTCGCCATTTTACAGGCGCACACTTGCTCGTCCAACCACATGAACATTCGCATCCTACCGGGTACCCATTTAACACCTGGGTGGAGAGTAGCCAGTGCAGGTAAATATCTTGCCAAAGGATATTAGTGCTGTGTCGGGATTTGAACCATCGACCTTAGCATCTACAGTCAAGCGCCTTAAACCATTCGACCACGACACTCCCACTATTATTATTATTCTGATCATCATGGATCGTGGAAGACTGAACTCACCGATCTGCTCAGCCTCATATCCCTGTCATCCTGTAGCTGCTGATTCATTGCCCTGTGTGAAGAGAGGAAAACAAAAATGAGTGCTTTGCTCAACACGCCCATCAGAAAGATTTTAATCAGTAAAATAAAAATTGATTTACATAGCGCCTTTTCCAAAGGTTACAAGGCGCTGCTCTCCTAGACTTTCGACAATTTAAGAGGAGTTGTACAGGTAAGTTTTTTTAGATGTTTTTTGAAGAAATCTAGTGAAGTACTGTTTCTTAAGAAAGAGGGGAGTTTGTTCCAGAGACGTGGGGCTAAGGAGTGAAAGCATTTGAATTCAGACTGTTTACGGGATTTGGGAATGACAAAGGAAGGAGCTGATGAAGACCTAAGAGAATAGGATGTTCTCTGTTGCTGAAAGAGTGAGGAAATGTATACAGGAAGGGTGGTCGACATAGATTTGAAAGTTTGAACAAGTATCCGGTATTGTATTCTATCAGCAACTGGGAGCCAGTGTAGTTCCTGCAACAATGGGGTGGCTTGAGACCATTTTGGTTTTTGATAGATTAGCAGGGCACATTTATTTTGGAGACGTTGAAGTCTGCCCAGGTCCTTCTTACTTATACCCCGAAGTAAGCATCCACCATAGTCAAGCCTGGAGAGCACAAGTGCTCTAACAACATTAGAAATGACTGCTTTGATATAGCCAAAAGTTATTTAACTGTGACAGAATCGCGTGTACAGGAAGGGTGGTCGACATAGATTTGAAAGTTTGAACAAGTATCCAGTATTGTATTCTATCAGCAACTGGGAGCCAGTGTAGTTCCTGCAACAATGGGGTGGCCTGAGACCAATTTGGTTTTATGCAAGATTAAGTCAACTTGTGATTGATCGCAATTCAGATCAAACACAAATATCAAACGCAACTTGCAATCAAACGCAACTGCGCAATGCAAAGAGAGTTGCGTTTGAATTTCGAGCGCAACTTCGCTTTCGGTCATACATCTATTATAAAATTGCATTTGATCTGGAAAAAATGCGCTTGAAAGTTGCGTTTGAAATCACACGCAACTATTGATTTTTAGGACTTGTGTTTGATTTTCAGAGTTGCATTAAACTGATAGTTTATAATGCTGTGAGCAATTGCCAACCGGCTTTTTAAACAAAATGTGCTCTATCAAATCACTGCATGATAAATTAACCTGCATTTATTGCATTGCATTGGCATCGCATTCAGAGCCATGAGTATTCATTCTTATCTTTAATTTAACAAATGTGAAACTACAAACTATCGGTACTTCAAACTTTGAGCAAATATCGGCCCATTGAACAACTCAAGTTATATCAAAGGAGAGAACTTGCTAAAGGAAAATGTTATCATCTACAATGGGTTACTATTCAATAAAATATCCTTTTTTTCTTCGTTACTTTTACTTACTTTAATTTCTCCAGTTGTACAGATAAACTCTCTCTTTCCTGCATGATTCCCTGTGCTATCTTAACATTGCTCCTGTAATAAAAACAGTACAAGCAGGATTATGATATTATAACAAGCGAAACAGTACTCCTGAAAAAAAGTTTGAAATTTGAATGTTGATATCTCTCTTATTACTACATTATCATATTTGATGTTGGTTTCATTGAAAAGCATGGTTATCACCTTAATGCCCCATTTGTAATGATTATGTAATCATGGACTGTGCAGTATACCTCGATGTGGGGCAAAGCCAATAGTGAAATGTTGCAAAAATAAACGATGTAGAATATACAGTTATATACTTAATCATTCATACCCCTTGAAAATTTGATAGTTTTGTGTTTTTGGTAACTCAAGCATGAAAGGAGAACTGGTTATATTAGGGCTTTCGTAGAATACTTATAGATTTAAGCTTTAATATGTCACATCCTCCAGAAACATAAATTGGGAGAAAAGATTTTTTCACAAAAATGACATAACTTGGTAAGGGTATGAATAATTAGTTCTGAAGTGTACATTAATTATTGATGCTTGCGTTGCTGTCTCTAATATGTGTATGTTACCACATATGCCACGATCCAGACTTTTACCAATGATTTGTCCCAATTCAGATTTTTCGTAATGATATCGACGATAATAGTAAAATTAATAGGCATTTCTAATATGCCATCTATCTAGAACTTTTATTTCGATGATAAGTAAACTACTTTGCAGTAACAAAAAATATATAACAGTTTTCAAAATTCCATCTCATTGACATCAATGGCATTCTGCATGACCCTATTGTATACTTGACCCAGCAGTCTAGAAAGTTCATTATGAATCTGTATCATAAACTACACTATAGGTGTGAGCTGAGCCTTGAATACGGCTCACATGTGCAGACTAAACCCAGCTCAATAAATCAATAGGAATGACATACTTTCCCATAACATATACCTGTGTGGTTCATATTGCGTACAGTTTCCTTGTACATATGTTCCCATTACAGAAAATAGGGACATATTTGTGATGTGCGCTATATATAAAGTACAATGTATGGCATATCATTATTATCATTACTGTACCACGTGGTAAATAATATATTCTTGAAAAGTAAACACTAGTCGGTAATATAGCATGTGAAATAAAATACAGAAGTAGAAAAGAAACTATTATACATGTACTTTTAACAACTAAGTTATTCATATCCTAATACCAATTTTTGCAATTTTTCAAGTATGTGAAAAAATGAAGTCCCGATTTGTGTTTCTTGAAAATGTGACATAATAGCAAACGTATTCAACAATTGTTCTTATTTTACCAATCCATCTTTCATTGTAACAACAAATTTACAAGAGGTATGAACAATTTAGATGTTTAAATAAAACTCAAATAAAACACAAAGACAAGAGGTGAGTCTCAAAATGAAGGACAAATATGTCACAGTTAAAACAGAGAGCAGTTCATACATATACCTACATATATATTTAGAAGGGGGAAAAAAAGGAAATATAAAGAGGAAGAAAAATGGAAGAAACAAAGAAAATAGAAAGACAAATATACTTACTTGACTCTTTCTCTCTTATCTTTCAAGTGTTTTTCATTCATTTCTTTGAGGTATGTCTTGGATTCTACAAGCTCAGTCTGAGAGGAATCAAGCTTCATGGATAAATGTTCATTTTGCTGCAAAAATAAAAATACAAGAAAATTCATCTCTTAAAGAACCGATCCAATTTTTGACAAATAAGGATAATTTTTACAATTTATCTTTTAAAGATACTATGTCCCTTTTGCAGCCAACCTCAAATTTGCAGGAATTATGAATATGTCATGTATGTCCCATTTACCCATTTACTTGCTAGACTTCACTATCAGACACTATTGTCAGTATTGAGTGACTGACTGGCTTTTTCTTCTTCTTTAGTAATAAGATACATAAAATGAGCTGTAAAGGATTTGTCTACATCAATAACCCACTTCTTGTAATGGCCAAAATTAAACTGATTGAATCTTTGCGCAGCATAAAATGTACGACCATGCGGTACAATGGTCTGAAAATCGAAACTATTACTTATTGGCTCTATAGCTCCTAAGTCAATTTGACAACTAATAGTCGTTATTTTCCCACTTAAAAACATTTTCAAGCCCCATTTTTTATAAGGGGATTTCTAAATTAGTACTACCTTTCAAATGCCATTGGAATTTAACCTTTTCATTTTTTGGGCCTGCAAATGGGACATAGTACCTTTAAAGGGGAGGTGTTCTGGTCTAGTGGAAACATCACCGGACCATGGATTGTATGTGTTATGCTTTGAGTCCCGCCGCAGTACTAACATCCTTTGGCAAGACATTAATCTACATTTGCCACTCTCCACCCAGGTTTTAAAATGGTTACCGGTAGGATGTGAACTTTAATGTGGTTAGATGCTATAGACACGTGTGTGCTTGTAAAATGGCGCAAGGCCGGAACATTCTCCGGTGAGCGGATCATGTTAAGCGCTTACAAATGTGACTGCTTTGACTATTATTAAGAGGATAAGGAACAATAAAATCGGTCCCAAATCCTGAAATTTTGTGTGAAACAGATGCGTGTTGCAGGTCCAATTACCCAACTTAAATAGTAATAATCTTAAATCTGGTCAGAAACAGGTCGACTAGCAACAACTACAATAACCCAAGTATACAATCTGCATTGTGCTTATTGAAATGCAATGCTCTATAATGCATGAAGCAATACATGTAGCTTGATTTGATTGGATTTGATTTACCAACAGCAATACTGTAATACATTCCATACAATGTCTTTACATATATATATATATATATATATACATTGAACAATCAATTTTGAAAATATGCTAAAAAATTCAAAATCTTGATGCCACAACAAAGTCTAAGTTTGTTGACCTAAAATGACCTTTTACCTTAACTTAGTGACCTGAAATACTACTCACATGATTAGGGATACTTGATAACCCTATATTTCAAGTTACATTGACTAAAAACTTAAACTTTCAAAATTATATAAAAAATTCAAAAACTTAACCTTAGGTTAAGTTTTCGATGATGATGCCACAACATAGTCCAAGTCTGTTGACCTGAAATGACCTTTGACCTTGACCTTGTGACCTGAAATTCTACTCACATGATTGGGAATACTTGATAACCCTATAGTCTAAGTTTCATTGACTAAGAACTTATACTTTCAAAATTACATCAAAAACTTAACCTAAGGTTAAGTTTTTGATGTTGACGCAGCCGTCACCGGAAAAGCGGCGCCTATGTCTCGCTTTTTTGCTACGCAGGCGAGACAAAAGGAGCCAGATAATAACACATGTACCAGTAGAGCCTAACCCTTTAAACAAGCTAAACAAGTATTTTGGAACAAATCAATTTATAACTACTAGGCTCCCAGGTAAATAGCACATGTTCATTTGGATATATTTATGACATGGGGGTGTCGATTTAACTCTAAGTTAGACTTAATCACTATGAAGAGCCGTTTACAGCCTTAAAATAAAATATATTCAAAAGCGAAAATTCAAGTATTTTAGACTTTTCATAAATTCCATATCAAGAACATGAAATCTTCTTGATAATAGAAAATATGAAAGATTTGAATCAACATTTTATGCCCTTTAAAATAATTTTTACAAAACAGTTTTCCATAATTGTTAAATCCAACTAAGAGATATAAGTTCAACTTAGGATCTTTGTGACACATTCCCCTGGACTAATGATAAACATGTTGTTCAGAGTTGATTAGGCAGTTGAAGTTCATGGGTCAAATTTCACGTAAAGAAGGCCTAGAGAATCAAATCTTGCTTTGACAGGGAAAATTGTGGGAAGAAGGAGTAGGGGAAGAAGGAGGATACTGTGGATGGACAGTCTGCAGAAATTGTTGGAAGAGAGAGGAGTGAAGGAACTGGGAGTGGTACTAATACAGAAGGCTAGGAGCCGAGGGTTGTGGAACAGCATGATCACCAAAGTCAAACGATATGGCACTTTAAGAGAGAGAGAGAGTTGTTCACAAAAAACTCTTTTGACACATATATGAAGTTTGTTAGTCTTGATTGCAGACTTACCTCTTGAAGAGACTCATTTTCTTCCTTGACCTCCGTCTCAGTCAGACTCAGTTCATATAGCTTGTGTTCCAGCTACATACATCAGTCAATCAGAAATGAAAAGTGATACAATAGTTGGAATATAATTTGACTAAATTCCTTGACACACCTACATTTTTTAAAATCTATTTGTTATAATAATGATAATGATAATGGGTTCTTGTATAGCGCTCATGTTTGTCACACTTATTACCCTGGCTTATAATAAAAGATTATAACCATTAAAGGTAGCAGGAAAAAAATAGGAATAAAACATGTACAATGTAATATCAATCTCGATTCCCATCTCCCCCCCCCCCCCAACCAAAAATAGGGGGAATATTTGAAATATTTATAATTAAAAAGCATAAATGAAAAGAAATAAAAAAAGATCTACATATTCATCACCTCTATTCTCCATACCCCTATTATTTGGTATAGATTTGTTAGTCTTTTAATAAAACATATCACTATGAAGGCACAATATTTGAGGCTGATATTGTGAACATGAAATAAAAACATGCAACCTCAGCAAGACAAAGAGAACAAACAAGATCTCCTGATGGGTCCCCTCTATGGAACATGAGAAAAACTGGTCGACATTCTATCATAGAGGCCTGTCTCAATCATCTTGAGTTTGCCAAATAACCCGCTATTTTCGGACTCAGGATACCCCAAAGCTCCAAATTGCATCTTCACCTGACCGAGATGCTCATCACAGACTAGCTAGACCGGGCACAAATTAGCCCGCTATTTCCCAAGTGGCAGGATATTTTGGGAACAAGACCAAGATTTCTCTGATATTTTCTCAAACAAATAACCCCCTATTTGCAACTGCGGGCTGATGATGACGCAAATTAACTGGCTAATTTGCGATCTGGATAGTTGAAATAGCGGGTTATTTGGCAAACTTGAGCTGATGAAGACAGGCCTGTAGAGTCAGTGATTTACTGATGCTAAACGTACCTCTGCTTGTTTGTTGAGTAATGAATTCAATTGCTCGTCTTTGGTTTGCATATCATGCTCCAGCTGCTCTCGGATTTTTCTCTCCTTCTCCTTTTCCTATTTGGGGATAGATAGATAGATAGAGAGATAGAGAGAGAGAGAAAGAGAGAGAGAGAGAGAGAGAGAGGGGGGGGGGGCAGAGAGACATGGGAGAGAGAGAAATGAGAGAGAGAGAGAGAGAGAGAGAGAGAGAGAGAGCGTGAGTGAGAAATGAGAAATGAGAGAAAGAGAAAGACAGAGAGATAGAGAGAGAGAGAGAGAGAGAGAGAACAAGTGAAGAGTGAAAGAAAGAGATAGAGAGAGAGAGAGAGAGAACAAGTGAAGAGAGAGAGAAAGACAGAGAGATAGAGAGATAGAGAGAGAGAGAAAGAGAGAGAGAGAGAGAGAGGGGGGGGGGGGCAGAGAGACATGGGAGAGAGAGAAATGAGAGAGAGAGAGAGAGAGAGAGAGAGAGAGAGAGAGAGAGCGTGAGTGAGAAATGAGAAATGAGAGAAAGAGAAAGACAGAGAGATAGAGAGAGAGAGAGAGAGAGAGAGGATAAGTGAAGAGTGAAAGAAAGAGATAGAGAGAGAGAGAGAGAGAACAAGTGAAGAGAGAGAGAAAGACAGAGAGATAGAGAGAGAGAGAGAGAGAGAGATAAAAGAAGAGAGAGATGAAGAAAGAAATTGAGAAAAAGTAAGATTAGATAGAGACCGAGAACAAGATAAACATACAATGAGAGTGAGGGAGAAAATATTCATGGCATAAATTCACTTGATAGTTTATAACTTTAGATGTCACAATACATTGTCACACCTCTCAGGGATTGGTTAGGATGGGAAACAGGAGAACATGTCAGGTAATTTCCACTAACTTTTGGGGATGATTTGCAAAGCTTGTTATTCATTGTATATCAACATCATTAGTACAGTTAGTGAATATGTTTGTAAACTAGCTTCTAAGCCAGTCTCTCCCTCTAAATCTCAAAAGGAGGATTTTACGATGATTTACCTCTGAAAGGATCTTTTCTTTCTCCATCCGAATCTGTCTCTCCATCTCCTCATACAGATGCTTTATGTCCTGCTGGTGTATGGTGTCTCGGCTGAACAAATAAGAAAAGGAAAATGACATTGCATTGGAAGTCATTAAAACTCACAAAATATATTTCTAGGGAAGGTACTTATTATGTGAGTTTCAGCAATAAAGTCAAACCTGTCTATAACGACCGCCCAAGGGAAACACAAAGAGTGGTCTTTGTAGACAGGTTCGTTTAGTACATGTTTCAATGAGAAACCATTTTCAAGGGAAACAAAAGATGTGGTCTTTGACTCTGTGTAGACAGGTGGTCGGTAAGCAGGTTTGACTGTATCATGAATTTTGAATTTGTGTGGAAGTTCATTTCGTCAGATAGGGTAGCTTTTCCCCTCCTCTTCAAATTAAAGGTAAAGACCGGTATTGGAAACGCCCCAATTTCAAAAAATAAAATGGAAGCTCTTTTTACCAATCATGTGAAAGAAGATGTTTTGACTAATACATGATGATAAAAAGTTTGGCGGGAAACCGCCTACTAATTGATGTATTTGGTAAATTAGTTTATCTACATGGCCTGTGAGAGATAAACGCACGTGTCGTGCACGTGTCGTGTTTACCCAATAACAGGTGTTGTCAATCACCAGTGTTAGCCTTGAGTTTTATGACCATTAGACCTTATGTAATGCTTCGCTTTTCCCTCACACGAAGCTCTCCGAGCGATAAGGGGTAATTCTTGATGGGCCAACAGGTTTGCTGTCTGCACATTTGTACTCCCATGCATTAAAGGGATCCAGTAACTTTGTCTCAGATTCTGAAAACATATTCTGGATTTAGCTCATGATGCAATGATAATTATAAACCTTTAGGTCAGTCAGGAACCCAGTGACTTTTACAAGCCGATCGCCTGTCTGATTATCAAGATATTTATGATTGGAATTACAAATTTTGAAAACCGTTCGCCTGACGGTTTTCATAACACTACAGTCTATTGGGGAAAACGAGTATGGTAAAACCGGTCATTCAAAGATTTTTACTTTTTTGAGGCACTTCTTGATCATTTTGAAGCGCAATTTTTTTAGGGCTTCAATATTACATCATATCACAGACACTGATAACATGTAGGGCCGTGTATCTCAGATTTAACATTGTTAAACGATCCCTTTAATGGTATTTCCACCAAGACTGGTGTCAGCGAATTATGAACTTCTGCACATGGAACCTGACGACCCACTCCCTTTATTGTCACCTTTTGAGTGCATTCTCCAGTTCGCCTGTATTGAGTTGTGAAGTCCTCTTGTCCAAGCACACATGTTGGATGAAATCCTCAAAGTTTGTCAGAAGACCTGGCTCATCTTGATTCAGTTTCTTCCACAGATCCTTGACTGAATCATGTCTAGAATCAAAGAAGAACATCTCAGAGATGAATATCAAAGAAGAACATCTCAGAGATGAATATCAAAGAAGAACATCTCAGAGATGAATATCAAAGAAGAACATCTCAGAGATGAATATCAAAGAAGAACATCTCAGAGATGAATATCAAAGAAGAACATCTCAGAGATGAATATCAAAGAAGAACATCTCAGAGATGAATATCAAAGAAGAACATCTCAGAGATGAATATCAAAGAAGAACATCTCAGAGATGAATATCAAAGAAGAACATCTCAGAGATAAATATCAAAGAAGAACATCTCAGAGATGAATATCAAAGAAGAACATCTCAGAGATGAATATCAAAGAAGAACATCTCAGAGATGAATATCAAAGAAGAACATCTCAGAGATGAATATCAAAGATCATGTTACATGTAAAGTTAACAACTCAATTATTTATACTCTTACCAAGTAATTGTGTAAGTATGAAGAAAAAAAAGTCGCAAAAAAAAAAAAAAAAAAAGTCTATTTGCCCCGATTAAAGTTTCTTGAGAATGTGATATATTGAAACTAAAATTAATCAACAAAGGATTCAACCTTCTTTGAATAAGAAAATTATGGTACTGTATAAGCTGTTATTTTCGCAAGGGTTTTATTGAAATGAGCAAGAATCAGCGTTGATGGAAAATCGCTTGAACGATCTCCTGCAGTAACCATGTTTTGTAACGGTGTTATGATTTGCGATTCGAGTGCCACAAAATCACTTGAACGCACCCTAAGATTGACTTAAGGCAGGCCGTTCATGCCACTGGTTGCTCTCACCATCCCTGGCATTGGTCTCTCAAGTGACATAAAAGTCATGGTCACAAATCTACAGAATTTACATTTTTTGATAGTTCATTATTGAAGGAAAAAATATTATCTAAAGATCATAATTTCTAAGGTTTTTTCCCTCTAATTTTACATAAAATCTTTTAAGGGCATAAACCTCCTACTGTAGTATAAGTTTAAGTCTTAAATATATTCTGAAGTCTACAAATATGTAAGTAACTTTTTTTTTTCGACAACCAACTATCAATTTTTTTAATTCTGACGTCTCTTGAGACGTGAGAGCAACTAGTGGCATGAATAGCTTGCCATAGTTCAAGTCCAACTTGAGTTGATCTTAGTCTTTGTGAACACCCCCCCCCCCGTAGCACCAATGCTCTTCATTTAATTCAAACACATTGATAGACTGTTTATGGATGACTTACTCAGCTATGACCCCTGTAGCACCGATGCTTTCCATTGCATGTTTGAAGTCTCTCTCTATCTCATCATGATCTCGATTCTCTGTATACTCTCCATCATCCGTCTCAATGTGATCTATGGGAGCCGACTTAAGACCAAGAAATCCTCCTGGAAATAATGAAATAAAGGAAATGTTATCATCATCGTCATCACATTAATCATCATCAACATCATCATCATGACATCATCATCATCACAACTGTAATCATCATCACCAACATTATTATCATCCTTTTTCCTCATTACTATATTGATCATCATCATTCTCATCACCACCATTAAATTGTCAACCTCATAAACATCATCTTCATCGTCCTTCTCCTCATCAACATGCATCACCTTTATCATTAACATAACCACTGCCACCACCATCATCATCATCACCATCATCATCGTCATAATCATCCCCATTATCATCATTGCTATAATCGCCATCATCACCATCATCATTATCATCATCACCACCACCACCACCACCACCACCACCACCACCATCATCATCATCATCATTACCATCATCATTACCATCATCTGACATCACCATCATCATCATCATCATCACTGCATGTCATCCATGCTACCACTCACCGAATCCCTCAGTAAACTCCTCCAGCGTCAGGTATCCATTCTTGTCGTCATCCAGGGAATCAAAGACCTCCTCCAGCTGATCAGGCATGAGAGGTAGTTCATCGACGAGCCGCTGCATGTCTCGCTTGCTCACAAACCCCTTCTGCTCCACATCGCAAACCATGAACAGCTCCCTCGCTTTCTGCTCTACGATTGTCTTGATCTCGTCGTGAGAGGGGAACGACTCCCCGCTAGCCAAGCCCTCATCATAATCTCCCATTGTTCTTTGATTCAGAGTCTACTTTGCTTCAATGTTCATGTAAATCATACAGAGCATGCGTATCAGTGGAGCTTCAAGCTAACAACTATTTTGATTGAATTAACTATGCTCACTCCTCAAAAAGCAAGTAAAAAAAAAAAAAAAAAAAAATGTATTGTACTATTTAACACAGAAGTGTGTTGAACTGGCTTGAACAAAAATTACCGTAATTGAGTTGAATTGAAGATTAAAGATGATAAATCTCTATTAAAAATCCTATTAAAGTAATCTTTGTAAAAATAGATTTTCTTTAAAGGATAGATATGCAATAAACTTTTGAAATTTAATATGAAATAAATCTTGTATTGCACAAAACTAATGTTTGTATTTATATTACATTGATCTAATATAAAACTTTTCTTTAATGAAAAAAAAGGCACTTAATCCCTGGAATTGATGATATTTTTAAGGAAGACTAAATGCACATAAATATATTCACACATTGGCAAAGAGAATGATAATTCTATCTTTTGCAGTACTGTACTAGACAGAATGAATAATATATCGATTGGATGACAGTCTGTTATGAAAGACTAGCATACTTTGATCACATATTAAACCCTAATACAAGGTGGAAGCTCATTGATGGTTTGATTTCATGGAAAAGGTCCACAAATATCTACTTATCAATCAAGATTGCAAGTATGCATGTATGTGATTATCACTCTTTGCAAGGTCGCAAGGTTATCATTGGATGCGTATAAGAGATCTCAAGACTTGTGTAGAGACCTTATAATCCACTGCTAGAGTATGTCCTAGAGTATGTCCTAGACTATGTCCTGTAAATTCCTCTGGGCCTCAATACTCATGAATATTGAGAACTGCTTTATGACTGTACAGAGTTAGCTGGAAGACCATCTTTCTCTTCTAAATTCAATTAATGTCTACAGAGGACACAGGCACTGCGCATGTACATGTAGGTGAAATCCAGTATCACTACTTGATTTAAAGCTGTCGTGTTGCAGTCAACCAAGCACTCTCCACTTGAGAGTATTCAAAGGAATCCAATATCCACTTGAATGTATCACTCTCTTAGATCCACTCAGCAGCTATCCTTTCCAAATGTGCACCTGCTGGTTTTGTGGGCTGAAATGTCTTAACATGTCGTTGTTCAAGCTTTTAAAGTAGGCCCAAATCGAAGTTTAATTGCTTACAATTCCAATACAGCATCCAAAGGATCTAAGAACAAAATTAAGCACTGAAAGTCGCTGGTATATGTCATACATTGTAGATCTAGAATACGAGTGAACTGCTTTGAGTGTTCTCCTCAGATATTAAACATATGTTGAAAATTGTTTCTCACATGATTTCCAAAAATATTCTCACGTTTCCGTCACTTTCATTCACAGATCTGATTCCAGTGTGAATGATTCCTGAGAACAATGCCACAAGGTCCTCCGCGCAGAAAAGAACAGCATTCAATTATTGATTGGTCCGTTATGAATCATCCATTGGTAAAACTCACAAATGGAGAGAGAGAAAGAGAGGGAGAGAAAGAGAGAGAGAGAGAGGCAGAGAGAGAGAGAGAGAGAGAGAGAACTGGCTATGATTGTATCCTCCTTGCTGTGCATATAAAAGGTAAAATATTCTGATCCTATTTTCCTTGAACTTGAAACCAAAATAATGCAGGTACTTCAGTAGTTGTCTCCCACTTACTGTATGCTACAATCATGATTGTTCCCTCAAGGTCATAATAATACATATTGCAGTCATCTTTCATTTAATAATACATCCTTATACTAAAATGAAAAATCCATGGCTAGCTCGAGTCCAATTTCAGATTGATAGAAAAACTGGGAGAATTCCTGGTAGCAAGTAGTTCTTTTCTCCTCTGGCACTCTTTTGGGGGATCTCCAATGCTGAATCGCTATCCATTCACTAACTCATTTGAAATCAACAGGTTGTTTAGTAGTCTCAAAGCTCAGACTCTAATTTGACACTGTACAAAGTAGATAATGTTCAGGGTGAAGAGTAACCAGGCTTTCCATTTGATGTTTCCTTGGTAGATACAGCTTTAGTACAGGATCTATGGGATGCAGTCTAGATAGTCTCAATTTCCAGACCCGGTGTTCTGAATGACGACTGGCAACGGTTCGTACATACTGGACATCTATAATGCATTGAGAATCAGTCCACTCATTCGTGTAGACTTGAGAGGGTTCCATGCAGTGTGTACACACAATTAATAATCAATCACAATTAGGTGTGTCTCTGTTTGATTTTCATGTTTGTCTGATTTGACATATTTCTGAGGTCAAAGGTCGATGGGTTCAATCACACATGTAGCTAACTCCAACAGATGAGATGCTGGATCAGTAATGCAGGCAGAGATGTGGTACATATAGTACACAGGTGGAGCTAGATGGAGGCCTGTATGTCAGTTCATCTGTGAAAAAGAATAATAAACCAAAAGATTAATAATACAATAATCTAATTTAATTTTGCTCATAATTTACATATAAATTGAAATAGTTCATGCATGATATTAAAACAACCATCTGGTATGCAAGGTTAAATCAATTGTAAGAGGATATTGATAAAAATATATAATACATGAATATATTTACCGTAATTAACAGTGTATACATGTAAACCGCCCACGTGTATTAACCGCACCCCTCTTTTTAGCCCTAAAAAAAAATTAAAAAATAAAATAAAAATAAAAATAAAAATTCTGTCGGCAGCAAGCCAGGCCCGTGTTAAAAAACCCACGCGGGAAGGCCTTTCATTTAACTGCGAGGTGCAGCTGAATGTGTAGGATCATTAATGTAAATTTTAAAAAACAGTAGAGGACCTAGGATAGAACCATGTGATGTGGTACGCCGTGTAATAGAAGAAAAAATGGAGGAATTATTATTATAAACTACATATTGAGATCTATCAGAAAGATTACTTTCAAACCAAGATGACAGACAAATTCGAGTGTTGTTCTAGTTTCCGAGTGGTGATTCAACACACCGATTACTGATTACATTGCCAGGCATAGCGCCAGGTGGAGGGAAATAAATCAAAACTTTTTTTGTTTTTTGTTGGTGTACCGTACGTGTATGAACCACACCCCCCGACTTTGAATTATTTTCGGCGGCAAAAAGGTGCGGTTTATACACCGTTAATTACGGTATACATGTACAGGTATTGACATAAAGTGTAACAGGCCCTCTCAAGTAATGTCATGACACTATATATATATATATATATATATATATATATATACCTCTAGTAAATTTGATGTTTTTTGTGTTCTTCGTAACTCCAGAATGAAAGGTAGACTGGTTGTGTACTTTTAGATGTTTAGTATTTCACATTCTCAAGAAACATATGAAATGGGAGAAATCAATTTTTACTCATACTCAAAAAATTACAAACATTATGAGTAATTTAGTTTTTAGATGTATATTACATGTTTACAATCTGCTCATAAAAAGACAATATCACAGGTCTCATGCTTTTGAGTTGCCAGCTCAGGAACCTACATTATAAGATGACGGTCATTTTAGTTTGAAAATCTTTTTTTTTTGTTTTTTTTTTGGTTATTTCTAGTGAACTGCACAAAATTCGTTTTCACATGTGCAAAAAATAAAGTTTCCTCATGGATTTCAGATGGCCTCCTGGAACTGCAAAATTTGAACCATGCAGCAAAGAGGTTTCATATGGCAGGCAATAGTTTCCAGTTTACACCTCATTCAGGTCTGAAACAAGATAATTAAGAATATTTGATACATAGCAACCAAACAGGACTGTGTAAACATGTGAATCATGATCTTTCCTCCACACTGCTGTAGTCCAAGAGACCAACACAACTCAAGAGTTTATGTGTGCAAAGTGTCACAGTTCTAATTTGATTTGATATTTGATATTTAATTAATTCTTTTACATGTTCATTAGTTTACTTTGAATTGGATTGTATTTGTTATGCAGATCGAATGTTATAATGAACAACGATTGTAAATATTTTTAATTTGAAGCAATACAAAATAAAACAATACAAATTTAAAACAAATTGTCACTCTTGGTTCACACTGACTGGAATATGGTGGATTTAATAGAGCTATTAAAAAGAAAGTAATAACTGCTATTTCATCTCGACTTGAAGGATTTGGGTTGCATCCTCCAAAATATGCTCATCACAAATCTGTAATGGCACTTTAATAGAAAGTATGCCCCCTTTAATATTCAAAACAAAAACATACATATGCAGTAGGCTTGCGGGTGCACCATGTGAGAGAGAGGGAGGATTGAGGAGTCCTGAAAAGGACTCTCGGTAATCTTTCTTGAGGGTCTGTAGTCCTGAAATGGACTGTTGATGGTGCACCCGCATGCCTACTGTATATCTTCATCACCATGCAAGCCGATACTTACAAGCAGCATCTAAAAACATACATATACAGTCAATCGCCAAACAGTTCATTTACAAGTGTTCTTGGATTTCATTAGGATATGTTTTGAAAGGATTACAACATCTATAAACTGTTTAGTCTGCTTCCATTCAAACTAATATTGATCTACTTTTCTGATTTGCTGCTTTCATTTTGAGCAACTTTTAACATATTGAAAGCTGATTTAAAAAAAAATAGAATTCTAATGGGATAAGCACAGGGACAATCTCGGTCCAGCTAGTAAGGTTATTGAGTTCTGGGGAGAGGTCGAAAACAATTTGTGTGTGAGCGTTGTTGTTGTTATTATGCAAGTGTGGAAGAACACCAGAGAAACAATATTCCCTGAAAAGCATGGCTCTTCAAATGCCTTCATATTCTAAATATGACATGTAACACCTAAAATGAGGATCTCATTTTTATGCCACATGTTTGTGTAGTCACATACGGTATATACATGTACATCTTTCTGTGACAGTGCTTGTTACTTTTACCAAGACTGCATGGGTCAAAGTGATCTGACAATTTAATAATGGAAGTTCTGTATTAAAGCCATGTTATAATAGTCTGCAGGCAAAAACTCTAATCTCAATGCTTGTTTTTTGTAAGAAGCCTCTTTCTTTATACCTTTAAAAGCTTATGAATGACAAGTAATTTTGAGCTTTGGTAAAGTGGATTGGTAAGACTATAGAGTATCGAAGCTGTGACATCATAAAAATCTATTTTTTGAATTTATTCTAAATGTTTTCTTCATTTTCCTGAAGAGCATCAAAAATGTCCAAATGTCGAAAACCAATTGAATATGTTAAGTATTGGCTGAGATATGACCATCTGAATAAATAGATGTCCTATAGGAACTCAGTGTTATATTGCTCTGGCTCGTAATGTTATGACAAGTAATTCTACTGTGGGTCACTCTACTGGAGTGAATGATTTTATGGCAAAATGTTGTTTATCGATTCAATATAACAATATTGAGATTTATCATTTTGTATAAAGCCAATCATGAAGACTAGTATGATCCATCATAGACTGTGCACTTAAATTACAGAGAGTGCCGTCAGTAGCCTGGTTTTTGTTGTTGACAGTCTATCACATGTATAACAATAAGCTAGACTTCTCTTTTTTAAGGTCAACTATCTAATCCCCTGTTCATACAAGGCCCCATGTCTGACAGTTATATGTGTATATATGGGTGCGTTTATCGTGTCTTGCCACTAATATGTACATATCGAACCCGGCCACTATACCAACCGGAAATTAACCTGGGAAGGTCCGATTTGTATGTGGGGTTCAAAACAGCTTTGCATTTATCATGTCTCAGAAACGTGATTCTGGCTGTACATGTACTAGTCACATTTAAAACACACTTTGTTCAATGTTACAATATGCCCATATCTAAAGACTTCTGAAAAAGGCTTTGTCACTATGAACATGTCGAACAAAGAAAGCGGACAAAATATACAGTTCCTCAGGTAGACAAAAGAACATCCCTTCACTGCTATTATGTAAAAAGTTAATATGCATGTGAAACCTGTTTTACACATTTTTACATAATAGCAGTGAAGGAATGTTCCTTTGTCTACCTGAGGAACTGTATATTTTGTCCACTTTTTTGTCAGTCATATTCATAGTGTGTGTTTATCACCTTAAAAATTTGCCTGAAAGACGTTTGAAAATGCCGATTTTAGGCAAAAAATTTGTCAATAAACGCACCCTATGTAAGTCTGATATTCTTTTTTTTCTGGTATGAATGTCGACTGCCTCACATCATGTATAAAACATTTTATGTACCGGTATTAAACACAACAGATCTTTATAACAGCCTAAACAGGTGCAAATATTCAGGTACTTGTCGATTTACCTACTAGTCTTTCTTTTAAATTAAAATCAGATTTAGAGTTATATACATTGTACATGCTACCTATACATGCTATATACATGTATATTGCAATGATGAACATAATAATGAAGAATTCTGAAGCTTTTGATAAGCAAAAGCAAGAATGAGATATTCTGTTGCCAACAAAATAATATGATGATAAATGTACAACATTGTAGAATTTACACCTACATTTCTTTTTAGAAAACAATCATGAACACCATTTAGAGACACAGTCAAAACGCCAGTTAATTCCTACACACACACCTTTTACCACGATGTACAGCCATTAACCTGTTTGAGGAAAAAAAATTAGAATTTTTTTTACCTAGAACCATGTCAATCTCAAAAAATTAGAATTTTTTTTACCTAGAACCATGTCAATCTCTGTGTAGAAGTCTAGTTGAATGAAGAACGAGCAGGCTATCTTCATTAGCTTGCTATGGATGGAGGCCCGTATGTAAACACACTCTGTGAGATCAACAGCTGTGAGGGAAAACAGACGGTGTTTAATTACAAGGATTCATCAGGTGGAAGGATATTAGGGCCGGGGAGCCGTATCACAAATGTTTGCATTTGAAATGAAGGATAATAAGCGCTAGTCTTTGTACAGTGGCTATTGATACCAGCTTGTAATATCCTCCTTGGTATTACAAGTGTTTTTTAGGGAATTAAGGATGATGGCTATGGATTAAAATTGAATGAATCCTCAAAAAGATGGAATTTGAGATTAATGAGTCTCATCTGGCACCATGATGTACATGTAGTGCAAATCTGTCTGATGCATTGTATTAAATACTTGGAGAATAAACTGTGAATTTAGTGATTGGGGGGGGGGGGGGTCCAGGAGTCTTCTTTTGTCAATTTCTCTCGAATTGTTCCACCCCTCGATGGGTAGGGGGAACGTGCCCCTTGCCTCCCGTGGCTACACCACTGTCTAGACTTTTTGGTTTAACATGCAAAGTGTTAAAGCATAAGATAAAACAGGATTAGAAAATGTCATAGTCATACAGGTACATTTCATTTACAGGTGTACACTGTATTAGTGTTTAAAGTGTACATTGGCAGGAACATTGTAAAGGAGTCCGGGAGTTGAAATACTGACACAGAAATTTAAGTAAAGAGAGAGAGAGAGAGAGAGAGAGAGGGAGAGAGAGAGAGAGGGAGGGAGAGAGAGAGAGAGGGAGGGAGAAAGAGAGAGAGGGATGGAGAAAGAGAGAGAGGGGGAGAAAGAGAGAGTGAGAGAGAGGTGTGAGAAAGAAAGATATACAGTATATACAGATAGACAGAAAACAAAATGAGGAGAGTCAGAGAACCGAAAGAGAGAGACAGATAGAGAGGAAGAGAGACAGGAGAGAGAAAGAGAGTTGAGAGACAGACAGAGAAAAAGAAAAGGAGAGAGAGAGAAAGAAAGAGAGAGAGATTTTATTGTTCTGTTCCAAATTAATGACCAACAACAACATTTTGTGGCCTTGGGTTTTGTCAAAAGGTGAAAATCACTCTAATTAAAGATTCTATTCGATTCTATTCATAGAAGTGGTAAATACACATGTACACATTCTACAACGAATATGGGGATATCATAAATGGTAATTGAGTACATATAAATGCACAATGTATGGAGGCCTGCATGGTTTTAAAGCCTGTCAGTGAAAAAAATACACGGGGTTCAGGGCGAATTTGCCCCCGAAATGCCTAAAACAGCCCCCGAAAATCAGAAAAGAGCCCCAGTAAATTTGCATAGAGTTCAATGCAAAACAAATTTTAGAGTGTTATTTTTATGAAGGCAAGCTTGAAAAGTAGCCCCCGAAAAATAAATATTAATTTTTTCCCTGGTCATTACTAGTGTAAAGGAAGGATTAGACCACACTGCAAGGTCACTGGACAGGTGGTTATCTCATCAACTCAGCTCTCGAATAACACAAAGACTAAGATCGACTTTAAGTTGGACTTAACTTTGACAGGCTGTTCATGCCACTATTTGCTCTCACTATTTACTGGCACTGGTCTGTCAAGAGACGTACAGGTGTATAAATCATGGTAACAAATCTACACAATTTACATTTTTTGATAATTCATTAATGAAGATAAAAAATATTATCTAAAGATCATAGTTGAAAGACTATTGGTGACAGTAACCAGTGGCATGAATTACCCGCACTGTTGACAACTACTCAAGTACGATTTCTCTTACTCGAATATTCGGCAAAAAAATAAAAAATCCCAGGCCGACGGTTACCCGTGCCAGGGAGAGCAGCGGCCGCTGGCATGGTGTCGTCGGTAAAAATGTTTCCCAACTCAAGCACTGTCAAACTCACCACTCAGAATCTGGGACCAAATGTCCAGATTTCTGTTTGGATTATTCTGCCATCTTTGGTTTTTAAAACAGCATTGTTTACTGTTATTATTATTATTAAATCTGCGCCTTCAACTGCAACTCAAAGTAAAATTGCATGCGTTTTCGGCGACGGAGCTGGTATACTGGTGGTATGGTGGTGGCAAAAATTTGTTTAAAAAAAAATCAAATATTCAACAACAAAAAATTCAACAAAATTCAACAAAATTCAAAAAATTATAAAAAAAACATGGCGTCCGAATATTCGAGTATTCGCTTGTAAGCCTGGGAGTGTACTCGGGTACCTCATTACACTGTTGTGCACAGTCTTATGAATGGCCTGTCATAGTTACATGTACATTGTACAGTGTACATGTACAGTGTAAGTCCAACTTTAAGTCAATCTTGGTCTTTGTGAAACATCCCCCAGGACACGTAATGTAAACTACAAAATAATTAAGGACTTGTAGGGCCATTAACAAAATAAACATGTTTAGCGTCCCCGCCCGCTCCTTTTTTGAGGGCTGCCTCCTATTTTTTTTTTTTTTAATTTTTAATTTTTTATATTTTTTTAATATTTTTAATTTTTAAAATATTTTTGTAAAGGAAAAAAAACATGAAAAACACTGCTAAAATGGATCTATTTCTGATTATAAAAAATATATAAAAAAATTTCGACGGCCATCTAGAAAAATAGCTTGACTATGAGGGAAAATGTACCGAGCGGCCATTTTGAGCGGCCATTTTGAAGGAAAAAAAAGGGCCTCCTCCTTCCTATTTTTCAAAAAAGCAGGACGCTAAACATGTTTTTATTTTATTTTGCCTAGTACAAAATATTCTGCATGGTGGGAAACTGAACATCTGGTTCATCATATAATCCTACAACACAATATCCATAGAGAATACAGCATGATAAGATAGCAACATGTAAAGCGGACTAGCTTGTACGCATTATAAACATTACCAGAACCTCATTCACACTTGCACATGCACTTTCACTGCACCCACTTGATCAATTTTGCGTGTACAATTATATAATTTAAGAGTTTGCCGCTATTCTCTTGAGGCCGCAATCGATTTCAAGCTTACCGCTCATGATGTATTGTATAAAAAGAACATTGAAATTTGACAATATATATGCATTGAACATCAGGTGAGTTTTAAGCCCAGTTTTGAAAGTAGAAAGCGGGGAAAGAAGTATACGTAGTACTTTCTTTACAGATAGATACTGTAGATAGATGTAGATAGAAATGGTTTATCAAACAGATCATCGCAGCCAATGGCTGAATTGCGATCCATTTCACAAAGATACAATGCAATTGCAATTGCAATTCAATTAAAACAAAATACGACATAAATAAAAAATCAAACATTTCATACAAATTCCTTGATAAAATTCAATTTTTTTTAAAGAAAGAGAAAGGGAGAGGTGTGGGAGAGGGAGAGTTAGAGCGATGAGAAAGAAAGAGAGAGAGAAAGAGAGAGGGAAGGGGGACGAAAGAGAGAGAGAGAGACGGGGAGAGAGAGACGGAGAGAGAGAGAGAGTCTCTTTATTATGTAAAATATTATATCATGTCTTGAGTGGTTTTGAATAAATGAGCTTAAATTTGAACTTGAGATGACGGGGGGGGGGGGGGGGGGGGGGGGGGGGGGGGGGGGGGGGGGGGGGGGGGGGGGAGACAAAGGGAGTCCTTATATTACAGATGAGGGGAGATGGCAAGAAATGTTCAGAAATGCAGAAAATCAAGATAAATACTATCAAAAGTCATTCACATAGTACAAACATGAACTGTGAAATTACAAAAATATAATTTAGATCTATGTTAGTATTACATTTTTATTAAGAAGATTTATAAATAATAATAATAATAATAAATTATATTTCTATAGCGCATTATACAAGGTATGTCTCTATGCGCTTTACATTATATTACAAGCTTCATTAATTACATACATCTACTATTGAACTATCCTCAAACAAAAATTCTGACAAGATCTTAACTAAAATAGTATAACAGTAACTAGATAGATAAACATTATAATTCATTCTTAAATAATGATACAACAATTATGGTTCAAGATTTTATTTATATATTACAAGTTGTAGGCATATACAATTTCAATTCAAATTATAGATTAATAATTAATTCTTAAAAAGGTAGGTCTTAAGTGCAGTCTTGAAGGTCTGGATGGAAGGTGCAGTTCGAATGGCGAGCGGGGAGAGAGTTCCAGAGGGTGGGAGCATTGAAGGTGAAGGAGCTACGGCCGTAATACTGGGTCTTAAAACGAGGAATCTGGAGAAGATGTTTGTTCTGGGATCCGAAAGCACGGGAGGGTGTGTAGGTGTGAATGAGTTCAGACAGATAAGAAGGGGTAGAGTTAGAGAGAGACTTGTAGGTGAGAAGTAGGATCTTAAAGTGAATCCGCTTGTTGATTGGGAGCCAGTGGAGGTTACGGAGAAGGGATGTGGTAGAAGTGAGACCAGTTGCTTTCTCTGTGATTCTGGCTGCGATGTTTTGAATTCTTTGAAGCTTCATCAGTTCGTTGGCAGGAAGATTAGGAAGAAGTGCATTGCATGTGTCAAGTTTGGAGGTGACGAAGGCATGGATGAGAGTGAGAGTTGTCTTCCGGACAAAGGGACCTGCACAGGAGGCATTTGGTTTTACAATGGTATTGTTTAAACTTTGATTGTGATCTTAGCGCAACGTAAGTTCAATGGCAAAGTCAATGCGTAATATTACGTCACACGATGGAGATTTTGACACGTCCTGCTTTAAACAGATAACGAACTTCACAACATAACTGATGCACACACGGCATTGCAGACACATTAAATAGAAAAATCAACGAACATCTCAGAATAAATTTCTAGTTTGTACCTTAAATATGACGAAAATGAGAATTGTTCAAACTTAAAAAATAGTTAAGTAAAACTTAAACTTAAGTGAAATACTTAAGTAAAATACTGAAGTGAAAAAATCATAACATAGAGGGTTTGACTGAAATATCATAATTTTGGTATAACAAAAAAAGGAAAATCGCAAGCTTGCTCCTCGCACAAATATCTTATTGCATTGAGTGAACAGAGAACAGCGATAGCCAATCTGAAGGGCCCATGTCGGCTAGGCTGGGTGCCAACTTACGAAAATGAGGCTGAGATCGATGAAGGAGGGAGGACGTGTAAGAGCACACTTTTTTTTTTTTTAGGGGGTCCCGAAAAAAATCGCAACGACTCAGCGGGGGGGGGGGGGGGGGGGGGGGGGTAAGAGGACACTTTTTTTTTTTTTTGGTCTCAAAATTTGGAAATTGGAGATTTTGCTAAGGTCACCTTTTTTAGGTCGATCGTGGGAATGATTTTTTTTTTTTTTTTTTTTTTTTTAATTAAAAAAAAAAAAAAAAAAAAAAATCAAAAGGGGGGGGGGGGGGGTTTTAGGTTTTTTTAGGGGGGTTTACATACATAAAATTACCAAAGGGGGGGGGGTTAACCCCCCAAACCCCCCCCCCCTGCGTACGCGCCTGGCTGCATTACTATCCTGGCTGTGTATTAAAAGCTGACGTGCTGTTGATTCTCAACATTTCAAACACCACTGTACAAAACTCAACCAATTTCATTCAAAGGCAGTACTATATAGTGACGATTGATGACACCTAAATAGCAGGAAAATATAATTTTTCAACTTTCTGATGTTAGAAAGAATAATTAAAAAATTCAAATTGTGAGTCCACTGTCAAACTTGCTGATCATATCATATCAGCCGCATCGGCATCATTGTGTGCATCTGCGTGTTATGTGTATTGACTAAATTCATGTATTCAAATGCTGCCTATTAACACGTAGTGCAGTGCTAGAACTCCATACGCATTAGCATTGACTCGCCTCTCTTTGCTTTGCTCGAGTGATGTACATGTAAGCTAAAGTTCTTCTTGCCTCATTCAGATATAGATCTGTAGTGACTTGACCCTTGGAGAACTTTGCATTTGTAAATATTATTGTCTTGTCTTTATTGTGTGACTTGAAGTCTAGCCTTTTATTCCATTGTCACTCATTTCTTTAGTGACACCTGTTACATTACTAGAGTGCCACACATACTTATTCTGGCAAGCACATTCCATACCCTATGGGTTGGGATGTGCAACCACCTAATGTACTGGTATAGCTTATACTGTACAGGCACATTACACTTGCTTTATTTGCCACACATATTTTCATCACTTCTCCTGAGCTGTTCATATAGAGCACACGTATTCTAGAGAGTCGATCTACAGCAAAGCTAATTCAGCTTCATCTTAATTCTTGTCCTATTTCTTCGCTTGTTTCTCTACTCGGTTCCGAGGCCTTATTACTTTATAGAGATTATAAGTTTCTTCTTCTTTACTTAATTCGCGAAGAAGCGTCATTACTTTGTACATCATGGTCTTAGAGTAAAGGAGCCCGTTTTCGACCACTTAAGACAAAATCCTATTTTTAGGACTCTTTACTTCCTATTTATTATCATTTCTTGTTCAAATCATGAAGCAAATATTATTATTATTTAAACAAAAAAAGAATCCCAGAAAAAAATCACGAATTGCCATGACAATATTCATTTCAATTTTCACTGTTTTGGAGCCGGTTATCGGCCGAGCGTTTCAGTTTATGGCCGCATGTACAAAGTCGATAGGAAGCGCTCGCGCGCGCCGTGCGTTTCCGCGCTGATGTACAGCACAAGCGGGCGGAGCAGGTATCCCACGCCGGAGCTCCCTGGTGCTCGCCTGGCCGAAGACAGGCACAGCGGTGATCGGAAGTTGGAATCTGAATTAGACAGAGATATCGTGTGTGCGTCGCGGTGTGCGGCTGCATTGATTTAATACATGCGATGAGATACTTTTGAGCTTGCGACTAGCACAAAATCGGGCTCTAAATCTGAAAAATACTTGAAATAAAGCTCATTTTATAGTACCCATATTTCTTACAGACACGCGTAAGATACTCGATTTTTCAGATTTGGGTAGCAGGACCGGCGATTACATCGCTAAAATGTGATATTTTAGGATATATTTTCCATTGCAAATGTGGTTCTTCAGTGACACTGGCATGGTATGGTATGTGTGGGATATGTGTTATGCTATTATGCGATGTATTTTAGAGTGATTTTACCTTGCATCCAACCAATCGGCCGAAAACTGGAGCTGGCCGATTACCGGCTCCTTTACTCTACATATTCTTTCTACGGGTGCTGTGCAATATTTGAACTACTAGAGTAAAGTAGCCCGTTTTCGGCCACTTAAGACAAAATCCTATTTTTAGGACTCTTTACTTCCTATTTATTATCATTTCTTGTTCAAATCATGAAGCAAATATTATTATTATTTACACAAAAAAAGAATCCCAGAAAAAAATCACGAATTGCCATGACAATATCCATTTCAATTTTCACTGTTTTGGAGCCCGTTATCGGCCGAGCGTTTCAGTTTACGGCCGCATGTACAAAGTCAATAGGAAGCGCTCGCGCGCGCCGTGCGTTTCCGCGCTGATGTACAGCACAAGCGGGCGGAGCAGGTATCCCACGCCGGAGCTCGCTGGTGCTCGCCTGGCCGAAGAAGGGCACAGCGGTGATCGGAAGTTGGAATCTGAATTAGATAGAGATATCGTGTGTGCGCGTCGCGGTGTGCGGCTGCATTGATTTAATACATGCGATGACATACTTTTGAGCTTGCGACTAGCACAAAATCGGGCTTTAAATCTGAAAAATACTTGAAATAAAGCTCATTTTATGGTACCCATATTTCTTACAGACACGCGTAAGATACTCGATTTTTCAGATTTGGGTAGCGGGACCGGCGATTACATCGCTAAAATGTGATATTTTAGGATATATTTTCCATTGCAAATGTGGTTCTTCAGTGACACTGGCATGGTATGGTATGTGTGGGATATGTGTTATGCTATTATGCGATGTATTTTAGAGTGATTTTACCTTGTATCCAACCAATCGGCCGAAAACGGGAGCTGGCCGATTACGGGCTCCTTTACTCTACTTGTGATATAATATATGTTCCAAGTATCTGTACTCAACAGGTGTTTCTACGAGACAAGGTAGGAAAGAAATCTATTTCTATTTCTTTTATTTAGGTGATTAAATTCCCTAAAGATCTATAGTCTATGAATCGAACTTGACTAGATCTAGACCTACATCAAAATAAGCACGTGGGACACAATACAAAACTTTAATGTGAATCACTAGCTGCTTTAAACAATTCCAACCTTACATAACATCTAAAACCAACAAACAGACAACCACTCATCACATACAAACTGCATTTTACACGATGAACCTGGCCTGGATTAGTCTATAAATTAATAGACCTACCTTAAATTGATTGCCATCATCGTCGTCCACGATCCACCGACCTCCGGACAGAAGTTTGGAACAGCTGATCAACAAAGCAATGCATGATCAACAACAACCAGTTTTTCGAAACCGTACCGGTACGGTACCGTAAACCCGTGCAGTGTAAGTGAGCTACTTCGTCCGCTACGTACTACGTGTTTCACCCGTTTCACGGAGCCCTCTTTCCCAAGACCAACAGCGCCATCACATGTCATGTCTAAAAAGGACAAGAAATCCTCCAGCTGTGATCTTTCTCGCATTTGCAGGGAGTCAGGCGCGTACGCAGGGGGCCCCCTTTGGGTTTTTATGTATGTATTTTTGAGAACCCCCCCCCCTTGTTTTAAATATTTTTTAAAAATAATTAAATTAAAAAAAATAACAAAAATTATGCTAATGGTGACCTAAAAAAGGTGACCTTACCCCCCCCCCCCCCCCCCCCTCCCCCTCAACGCAACGGAATGAAAGGTCGTTCCGGCATATTTTCGGGACCCCCCCCCCCCAAAAAAAAAAAAAAAGATATCCTCTTACCCCCCCCCCCCCTGCTTATTCAGCGGCTGGCTGAGTCGTTGCGAAATTTTTGGGACCCCCCCCCCCCCCCCCTCACCATACAAAAAACCAAAAAAATATATCATCTTCACCCCCCCCCCCCCGGTTTTTCATGAGTCGTTGCGAAAATTTCGGCCCGATTTAAAAATGTTAACCCCCCCCCTTGAAAAAATCCTGCGTACGCTACTGCAGGGAGTTATCGTTTTTTTTAATATTTGGAAATCTTTTGAAAATTTGCCATGTTTATATTATAAGGCCCGATAATAAGGCTTTTTCCACCGAACTGATTATACGCGTCAAATGGCGCTTTCAGATCCTTGCAATGTAATTTCACCTAATCTAAGTCGTCGGCGGTCATAGTTTTAGAGAAAATCAGAAGTTTACCGTAGATTATGCACATCTCATACTTTTAAAATTCAGTTCATAGCTAGATAATCAGTGGTAGATGTTGACCTGTTATAGAGACTGCGCAGATGTAGTCCAATGTAGTCAGAGCCGATGAGATCTCGTCGAGCAGAATAACATGTAGGCTATTTGTGTTTAATATGTGCTTGGGGAGGGACGAGGCTGAAATCCCCCTCCCGGGCCCAACCATCCTCGGGGACAATTACCCCCCCCCCCTCCCCAGGGAACAATTACCACTAGGACAATTCCCCTAGCAAGGACAACCAAGGACAACCACTCCCAATAACAATTACCCCCGCGCGAAAATTACCCCCTGTTCATTAAAGGGGAAGTTCACCTTGAAAATAAGTTGATTTTGAAATAGGCATTTTTCTTTGTGGGGTGGGGAGGGGGGGGGGGGTGAGAGGTGATTATCCACGGGTGTAATTTTCAGGGGGAGGGGGAATAGGCCTATGTGCTTGGGGTGGGGTCGTTCACGGGGGGGGGGGGTATCCTGGGTAATTTACCAGGAGGTAATTGTCCTCTGGGGTAATTTTCGGGGGGAGGGGGGGGGGGGTAATTGTCCTTGGGGGGGGGGGGGGGGGGTATTGTCCCACTGGTCGTTGGCTGGGGACGAATGTTTAGGGTTAAATTTTCCTACAATTATTGTTTAACCGTACATAAATCTGGCTCTATACTGTTAGTTAGCACAGTCTGCCAAATTCCAAACTGCTTAAACAATCACACGAATTAGTTTGGTTAACAAAACGTTTAAGAGCAAATGTACGAGTTTACTGAAAACTAAAATGAGTCATTTTTTCATTTTGTATTCTTTATTGTTTATAGTCCTTGATGTTTGCTTATTGTGTGTTCTATAATTCATGTTATCAATATTCACATTTATTATGTGCTAATACATCCTCTGCTCATACTAATCCTGACTTGGATTGCATCGTCTAATTCTACTACTTGCCTTTTAAAGGGGAAGTCCACCCTGAAATTAAGTTAGTTTTAATAGGAGTAGAAAAATGAGAGAAACAAGTCAGTGAAAGTTTGAGCAAATTCCGATTAAAAATAAGGAAGTTAGGATTTTTGAAGTTGTGATCAATCAAACACAAATTGGCAACTCTATGACGTATCATGCGAGCTCAACTTCCATTTGCTCAGTACTAAAAAAATCTAAAATTTTCATTTTCCCTCAAGAAAATTTTCAACCATACATGCACCCTAAATATAAAAATTGCAAGTATGTTTCTATACTACCCCTGCAAGGAACAAATATATATTCCGTCATCAATAACGAAGAAAACATGATTTTATGGAATATTATGCACAAAGCAAATGAAGGAGAGCTCGTATAATAAGTCACAGAGTTGCCAATTTGTATTTGATTGATCACAACTTCAATAATTCATAACTTTCTTATTTTCATTCAGAATTTGCTCAAACTTTCACTCACCTGATTTTCTTATTATTCTGCCTCTATTGAAACAAACTTATTTTCCCTTTAATTCTACTATATACATGTATTTACATTTTTACCTAAAAATCCACCCTTACATAACACAATGCTTTCACGTTGGTTTTATTGTGCATAGTCTATGTCTTTTACATTTTCAAATTTACAATTCAGTAAAAAAAATCGTCCACGAGCCGCATAGCGTCGAGGCGATTTTTGTTGTTGCTATTTTGAACCCCCGTAAATGTTTTTTTCCTGGTATCTACTAACACAATGCCACTGTGTTAGTGCACATCACATTTTCAATTCCCAAGGGGGGGGGGGGTCAAACCCCCTAAACCCCTCCCCGTAGATCCGCCCCTGGTAGTAGTAGTAGTAGTAGTTGTAGTAGTAGTAGGCTATAGTAGTAGTAGTAGTATTAGTAGTAGTAGTAGGCTAGTAGTAGTAGTAGTAGTATTAGTAGTAGGCTAGTAGTAGTATTAGTAGTAGGCTAGTAGTAGTAGTAGTAGTAGTAGGCTAGTAGTAGTAGTAGTAGTAGTAGGCTAGTAGTAGTAGTAGTAGTAGTTGTAGTAGTAGTAGTAGTAGGCTAGTAGTAGTAGTAGTAGTAGTAGTAGTAGTTGTAGTAGTAGTAGTAGTAGGCTAGTAGTAGTAGTAATAGGCTAGTAGTAGTAGTAGTATTAGTAGTAGGCTAGTAGTAGTAGTAGTAGTAGTAGTAGTAGTAGTAGTAGGCTAGTAGTAGTAGTAGTAGTAGTAGTAGTAGGCTAGTAGTAGTAGTATTAGTAGTAGAGTAGTAGGAGTAGTAGTAGAGTAGTAGTAGTAGTAGAGTAGTAGTAGTAGTAGTAGTAGTAGTAGTAGTAGGCTAGTAGTAGTAGTAGTAGTAGTAGTAGTAGTAGTAGTATTAGTAGTAGAGTAGTAGGAGTAGTAGTAGAGTAGTAGTAGTAGTAGTAGTAGTAGTAGTAGAGTAGTAGTAGTAGTAGGCTAGTAGTAGTATTAGTAGTAGTAGTAGTAGTAGTAGTAGTAGTAGTAGTAGTAGAGTAGTAGTAGTAGTAGTAGTAGTAGTAGTAGTAGTAGCAAGTAGTAGTAGTAGTAGTAGTAGTAGTAGTAGAGTAGTAGTAGTAGTGGTACTAGTAGTAGTAGTAGAAAACATGCTTTTAACCAGCAATAACAGGCAATGACACTAGCAATCAACACAGACAAAAAGTACAGTAGAATATAATAGTTTTCTTACTAATATCTCAAAACACGATGAATATGAATATGCTTTCGCACTTTATCGCATACGTATCTATGCATGACTCATTAAATTTTCCTTTATTTTTTTAAAAACTTGCATCGAAACATTTAAAACATATCTTATATATCTAAAATCGTTATCATCAGACACCTCTGCAGAAGAAAAAAATACAATATTCGAAAATAAAAAACATTATTTATAGCTCCATGATGCAAGAGTGTTTTTTTTATACATCAATCAAATTATTCAGAAAATGACAGTGCTTCAATGAAGGAAGATAAGTACATATGGATCCATTTAAAGAAACTCATCCCAAACCCTGACTTTCACGTTTTAGTTAGCCTCTTGTCGGTGGCCCTCGCGTTGTTGGAATCCGTAAATTCTGGCGAGCGAAGCGAGCCAGAGAATTCGAAGCGCTCGCGACGTTTTAGTGGGACCTAAGGTCTTCAGCTTTATTTACCCAAATTTCGTTCGTTCGTTCGTTTATTCATTTCATTTTCATAAAAAATACAGCAAAAGTAAACAAACATACACGTATATACAGGCTACATACAAAGGCAGAGAATGCTCAGTTTATACAATAACTTAAAATGAAATAGGAGAACAAAGGAAATGTTAAAAACAGTTCCCCCGAATATTATAATTTATATTAATGAGTATATATTAGTTAAATATATCACAATAGACAGCGATAAACACAATGCAAAGACACAAAATAATACAAAAAACATGTGTGAAATAATTTCAAATTGGAGGGGCCGAAAAGGTTTGGAAGGTGAATTCAACGGTACTCAGAATACAAGGTCAGTTTCATTTGTTTTTTAAACATTGAACTGTTTTTATATAAGCGTATGACTTGAGCGCATAGGGACTTAAATTTATTTTTGTGATATGCGCTATATAAGAATGGTTTATTATTATTATTCTTTGAGGTAGAGTGCTCCATATGTTTGGCAAAGTACTTCTAACAGATATTTTAGAGAATGAGCGTTTCACTTTCCATAAATAAAATGTGTTGCAAAGCGGAGTATGATGAGAATGGATTTGATTATAGACCGAGAATACGGATGATGTTTTTTAGGAAGTATATTTTTCAAAAATGAAAACCAATTAGTGCAGTATGGTATTTGATTAAATAAAAAACGTTCAGGGTTTTTAAACTAAGAAATAGAGAAGCAGAATGGGCATTATAATCACTACCTGTACAAATACGAAGAGCCTTCCTTCTTTTGTAATTTGAAGAGGGTATTAATTTTAATTTTGTATCAGACTTCTGCAAAACATGGTATTTCAAAAGGAAATCTTTCTACTGATCGCCGATATCAAGATATTTGGGAATAACACGAGTATACATGGTATATGAAAACGAAGAAGGGGGAGTATAGAATGAAAGGAAACCATGTGGTTTTTGATAACTTTCTGTCCTGGCATTCTTATTGGAT